TGTGTGTGTGTGTGTGTGTGTGTGTGTGTGTGTGTGTGTGTGTGTGTTCGCCTCCCTCCAGATTTATCGGATCCTGGGCAAGACGGTGGTGTGCTACCCAATAGTGTTTGATCTAAGTGACTTTTACTTGTCCCAGGATGTCATGCTGCTGATTGATGACATTAAGGTAAGTCAGGGTCACACTCACGGAGCTTACCGTTGCCGTTACGACTCCACAGCCAGCCACTTGTTATGTGCTCAAAGAACTTAAATAACTGAGCTTGTGTGGTCTAACAAGATGCAGCCTGACATTTGTGAGAATGACAGGGAATCAGCTGATTTGGTTCGGTTGCATGCTCATTTTACGTGTCCCCACAGAAAGGGCACATACTAGTGTCATAGCCTACCTGGTACCAGAAATCTAAGCTCTTAAGCAGCAGCTTGCCAACCGCAAGCACTAGGTATATTGACTGATGATTGAGTTTGCTTACACTTCTGTTCATTATTGTCACTAATTGATATCATACAATAGTGGAACATCTTCCAGTCAGTTGATGGCCATTTTAACGTTCTAAAAACTAAGAAGGCCTTGAAACCAACCTTCAGCTGCTGAACCTTCTGATGAAATAGAGGCCTAAGTTGCGTGCCATGTAATCCTGTAACTGTGTGTGTGTGTGTGTGTGTGTGTATGTGTGTGTGTGTGCGTGTGCAGAACGCCCTGCAGTTCATCAAACAGTGCTGGAAGATGCAGGGACGTCCTCTCTTCCTGGTTCTCATCCGCGAGGATAACATCAAGTAATAATAACTTCATAATAGCTCTTTTATCATTTTTTTAATGTCCTCCTGTCCTTTGATAGCTTTCTTACAGCATTCCTCCTCCACCTATCGCCCCATACATCACCCTCTATCTCTCTTTTTCTCTCTGATACTCAAGCTCACAACAAAAATGCCTTGACAGGCACAATACAGTTTGCTTCATTTTTTTTTTAATCCAACATTTCTCTCTCCCTCCCACTTTACCTCTCTTCCCTCCCACATGTACTGCCATTTATCTTTATAGCAGCAAGGTGCAACTGTATTCGCTTGCTGATTGGGTGATAATGTTTCTCATTTATATCACTGTAGCCTGACTGGTGAGCTGATTACAGCAGTATTGACAATTATCCAGAAAGCCATATATGTTAAATGTGCTACAAGCGCTTAAACAGCCACACTGCAGAATCTGGAATGAGTCAGTGGGTTCTCAGAGAAGCAACTCAATAGTCATTAGTTTGCTATTGATCGGGAAGATGACCTGCATGGAAGGTAGCAGCCCAACGAATAAAGCAGTGAAGGTCTGGGGGGAAATGTGCTGATTTATTGAAGAAAAAGAAAAATTCAGCTATGATGTTTTCATACTGATATGTTTAACACGTGTGTTCTGTTCGTAATATAGTGGTTAACACAGATGTTTAGACTCAGAATGAGACAGATTCACTCCACTGTGCACCGTAGGAAAAGCCAAACTTAGTCATTGTAACCTCTGTCTCACCAGGGGGAGCCGCTTCAACCCAGTCCTGGACATGCTGGCCTCGTTCAAGAAAGGCAACATCGGAGGGGTCAAAGTTCATGTCGACAGACTTCAGGTTTGAAATAGACTTGTTCATTATGGTATCGATTGTTTAATTTGGTCGTTCTCAATCACTCTTTGTTTTAGGAATGCACATGGATTTTTCTTCTCTTGGATTATTGGACATGTTAACAGTCAATAGTTAGTTCATCGTTAAAAAAAAAAAAGAAGTGCGAGTTTTCCCTAATAACGGCATTTTTTTTAAATACTAGCGTGGCTTATGATTGCCACAAAATCTAAGCGAATTTAAAAAATATAATAAAATATTGCCTTTGAAAAGAATGGTAAGACAAGCTAAATTATTTTTGATATAAAAATGCAAATAATGCTGCACAACTTCCAGGACATAAATAAGATGAGACTGAACATCATGTGCAGTTTGAACTAAGTCCAAACCATTTTTCTTTTATCAGCAAAAAGGTTTTGCAGCCACGTCAGGTTACACTGATCTCCAGACAGGCTTCAGTTTGACTGAGTTTATTTACCTCAGCTGCGTGACAGGGTTTAATAAAGCACTGTTTGTTCGCTCTAGTAGTTGCCAAGGAGCTGAAAACACCTGCTTAGGAGGTTAATTAATTAAAGATGTACCGAGGAGGCACAACTATTTATCTTAAATCTTTACCCGCTCAGTAAACCCTTTAACACTTCCTCCCCACCAGTGAATTGGATTTTAATCAATTTCATTTTTAACAGCATTTTTCAAAGAAATGATTGGCTCTCCGAAATTGCACCCAGACAATACTTTCTGCTCATTTTATTGGGAGGACCAATGGTGTTAGATCTTGTCACAATTGTCACAATTCCAATCAATACTGATTTACGACTGAATCAATCGTTATTGTTACTAAACTTTTGATTGTTGGCATATTGTGAAGGTGTTTCTTAACCTCTGTCAGGGGGAAAACGTGCCACCTGCTCTCTCCTGTTGGCTCATTTACAACAGATGTCACTTCTGTCTCTGAAATATACAATGGCTTCATATTACAGATGCAGGTTGTTTCGTCTCTTTCTTCTGGAAAGAAAAAGTTTCCCAGAAGTCCCTCCTTCTTTAACAAATGGATCACATGCAACATGTAATGTGAAAGGTTCATAGTGTTGAAACCACAGAGAATTGTCACCTCACTCAACCCTACGGAGCATTTGAGCATCTTTTAACTCAGCGTTTTGGGTTTACCGCCCAAACGCTACCGTTTGGTTCTCACCGTCTCATCCACCTCATATCCATCAGCAGAGTGTTCAGCGAGAAGCATTAGAATGCCATTGTACAGACAGACAATTTCAGCGGCTAGCTGGTGAACATAGTGATGCATTTAGCAGCTAAAGAGAGATATTTACCTCAGGAGTTGGTGGAGACCGAAAACAGAGCTAAACGGGGAGTGAATTTTAGACTTACATTCATCAGGTAGACACAAACAAAACTGTGAATGAATGAAAATATGTCTATGTGTCTGCTAGATGAGAAGTTCCTCGTCTCCACTTAAATATTGACAATATGTCAGAGTTGTATGTACAGCTGGTTTACACTGCCCCCAGGTGCTCAATCAATTCATGCAGTTTTAAACAAAGTAAAACCTTTCACACATGTATTGTGAGTGAGCATATATCATATTAAAATAGCCCATTTGATTTAACTCACTGGAATGTTCACGGCAGCATTCATGAATTTACAATTTACAACATTTTTTTCTGCAGTCAGGTCTTATTTTTCATGGCAGATGGTATTTGTTTAGGATGCAATCCAGCAAAAAAAAAATAAGGCCATGGTAGCTCTAGAATTATATTCAAATATGGTAACTTATGACAGGTTTCCCAACCCTATCTTTTCTCCCACTGAGTCTGTGGTGTTCAGCAGAGACGTTCTCATATGATCCGTTTTTTTTGTTTTGCTCTGAAGTTCTTCCTTCCCTTCGCCTATTTGCTATTCACTTCACAGCTAACTCCAACAACTTTGAAACACTTCTCCTCTTCATCACCTCATTGTTATGGGGAGCAGGATTGCTCCTCTCCTTTGCCTCTTATTTTTGTTTTGGAGTTGACTTCAGTTGGAATGGCTAATATCACATTTAGACCACAGGAGCAGTTCGCTTTGAAAGAGAAGATGACGAAGGAAGCCTGTGTTGTGCTGGATCGGGCAACCGAACAGATGGCTCTTTGCTCGCACACTGCTTTGCTTTCAAACTTTCACCGTCTCAGACACTAGATTGTTACCGCTCCCATACACATTTGTAAAATGTGAAAGATTGAACTGAGTTCACACCTTATGACTCCATGTGTTCTGTGTTATGAACTGCATTGCTCAAACTATTGTTCTGTATATACTGAGTCCCCCGACAAACCTCTCTGTGGTTTATAGAGCCGTGCTTTCTTCAGTAGACTTTTTCTATGTTACTGTGCAATCTCTTGTATAGAGATAGAATAATCGTTTTGCAAATCATTGATATGTCCTTTTTTTTCTCATCGACCTATTAGACCCTGATATCTGGAGCAGTGGTGGAGCAGTTGGACTTCCTGCGTGTCAATGAGGCAGAGTAAGAGTTTCCTCTCGTCTTTGTACTTAATTAGTCAGAGGTCAGTTTGACTGTTTGGCGGGATATTTTAAAAAGCTCATTAAGGCAAATCAATTTCAAATCTGATATGCATACAATCTGAGGATTATTGGTATACAGTGTAGACTGTATAAAAGCGTCTGCTAAATGACTGTAATGTAATGTAGACTTGATTTAAAATGTTTTCAGGATCAAGAAATCAGTTTAGTGTATAATTAACAAAATGCCAAGTGAATGATGACAGCAGTGTTTTGTTTGTTCATGTAGTTGTGAAATATTTCAAATGAGATAAAAGCAACCGCATGTGGATCTACCGTCTTCATACAATTAGTGTGTATGTGTGTGTGTGCGTGTGCATAGGATCCCAGAGTTTAAGAGCTTTGAGGAGCTGGAGCTGCCTAAGCACTCCAAGGTGAAGAGACAGATGAGCACACCCAACGTCTCAGAACTGGAGCAGCAGCCTGAGATCAATGTGGAGGAGTGGCTGCTGAAGCCCACCCATGAGGTCGTCCAGAAGTTCCACGTGAGTTGATCGGCCGTTCACAGCATGCAGGAAAATCTAAACCTTCATATTACTTCAAACATCTTCTTATTAACCAACACAACCCCAGGTTTCTTTTGAGTAGGAGTAAGCAACTCTTTAATCCACTTCCAACTAGTCCACCTGCCTTCCCCTCAGAGAATTGCGAAAGAGTTTCCTCATTATTTGTGTGGAAGATAACCTCTGTGCCCTGATTGTTTCCCCCCCTGTTGACTCTTTGACACACCCCGCTCTTGCCAACGCTCACTTGGCCACCTGTCACCTGTTATCTTATAGCATCTTATAAATATGTTAAAACATATATCCTCAAGGCCAGGTCCTGTGTACCATCTGTCCGAGTCTGCTCACTATTAACAGCTCGTCAATCTGGCTCTGGACTTGAATATTTCATACGTGTCTGAAAAATCCAAACCTCAGCCCGCGCCTTCTGCAATTGTGATTTGTTGGATCTATGAGGAATTCAGGATAGAAGACCAACTGACAGTCTGAAAACCCACATCCACGTTTGTTATTAATTTTAGAATGTTAGTGGCCATATCGAAGATACCAAACCTAATATTCACTTAGTATTTCAGGCAAACAATAAATAATTTACCCCAATCCTCTTCTGACATGCTTAAAGGTGCCCTCTTTTCCATATTTTAGGCATGTTAAGGCTGCTATCAATATTAAATGAGGCAATACATTAAAAATGTACCTGTTATTACCACAATTGCAAAATTCCAGAAAACAATTTGGTCAATACGGCTTGTTAGTGTTTACTGTGAGCAGATAATATTACAGCTGTGCGCAACAAAGGTATCTTGAGCTTGTTTAAATCTGTTGTGTTTGTATGCGTAACCAGGCTCATCTACTCATCTAACTATCTCTCTCTTGTCTGTGTGCATGTGCGTGCGTGTGTGTGTGTGTGTGTCTGTCATTTCCCAGGACTGCAACTGCTTGGCCAGTCAGGCTCAGCTTGCAGTTATCCTTCTGAGAAGAGAAGGGCCAGACTTCCTTGCCAAAGATGGTAAGCACACACACACTCAGAGTTGGTGAGCATCTTTAAGAACTAGTCACATGATGTAATGAAACAGAATAGCAGATCTTCAGAGTTTCCTCCTTAAAGGCAAAGGAAATCGTGTCAGAAGTGCGTTCATTTTATTCTTGTAAAACCCCTTTTTGGTGCCTTCATCAGTCCTGTAATCAGTTAGAAGTCTTAAGGATGCTGTTGCATGTGTGGTAACGTCAGTTCTAACATACAAAGGATGAAGGGTACATTTGGATTTGACTGTATATGTCTTTATGGTCTTTTTTAATGTCCAAACGCAAACATATTTGTGATTCCAGAGAACCTGAGGGATGAACTGGAGAGAATCTACAGAAGAGCTGGCAGCAGAAAGCTTTGGTCTGATATTCCCACACACACATACACAAATACGTAGACTGCATGCACTGGTTGCAGCCACAAAAATCTTGTCTCATGTTAACACTTTAATCTGGCTGAACTGTAGGCTGGCAGTGCGTCATGCTGCTGCCATTATCAAGAAGTTCGCCAGCTCTATAGCTCCTCACATCACCACAATACTGGTGCAAGGGAAACAGGTAATTCCCAGGCAGAGATGGACTGAAGACTCTGCATGTTTCCTCCCAGTCAGCTGGCTAGCTAGCTGTCTTAACTTGAGAGCTGTGTGAGGGTTAGCCAATCCTACTTTGTGATTCCTCATAACCAACCAACCAACCAAACAACCAACTAACTAATTAACAGCGATTTCTAAGTCAGAAAGAAGAATAACCAATATTTAAGGTTTGCATTTTTTTATGAAATATTTCAAAAAGTCTCCCATTTCTACTCTTTTATTATGTAAATTAGTAAATTCATTTTTATTATTTTAATTAAATAATTTGTAAAGAAAAGTTTCTAAAAATGGTATAAAAACCTTCAAAGAAACAGTTAATACTGACTGTACTTATTATTACTTATTAAACTAATTCTTGTCCCACGTTTTACGATCAAAAAGGTTTTAATAAGTGAAATCTCGTTCTCACGGTGTGATATTAGTCACCCTGGTAACAAGAGGTGTCATGCACTAGTTGGCTCATGTCTTAGCATCTTGCTAAAATTCTGGCTAAACCACAAAGTTTAGCCTAATAAGGTGGCTAACATTCACACTGTGTTCAGGAGCTTGTCGTCGGTGTTTGCTTCCTTTCCATTAACCATCACAGAGGCCGGACCCACGTTTCTGCTACCGCAGCGTCACCCGCTGCGATAAGGCTAGCTGTATACGCCAAATTAAATAGAATTTGCCTATTTGTTATGGCACTGTGAATGCCTTTACACTCACTGTTTCATCAAGGGCATCCGTGCTAGATGGAGGAGCTTGATTGTTGCCTTGGGAGCAGACACCATTCGCACATTCATCACAACAAAGTAATATTACAGCAAATGTATCTCCCTGGAGGCAAACGTAATCAAAGTCGACTGTCCTTCAGATTGTGAGCTCGACGAACATGTCGATCATAACTCATTATCAAAATACGGTTGGTCTTACTTGCTAACTGGTAAAAGTATATATATATATCTGCATGCGTTTTGATTCATCATGCTCAAGATGTGCCTTTGTAGCTCCACAGGTGCAGGAACTGAATAACTCCACACACACACACACACACACACCAAAATAGAGTTGTATATAATAGCATATTGTAAGAGGAGTTTGTGCTGATTGTATTCATGACTCCCTTAATGAAATTATTTATTTTGATCATTGCTTCTGTGAAGGATGGCTTCAACTCTGTGTGTGTCTATAACAACCCTGGCTGTGGGCTACCGTGGGAAGATTATGAATGTTCATTTGTGTTGCTTTTTCCCTCATAGGATTCCTGCAGGCAACGGGAGGCTGTTTGAAGGCTGTAGTGACTCTTGCCATTAACAAACTGAGAAATTAGTGAACATTAAAATATTTCAATGGAAAGCCAACCTTTTATTTGGCCATTCAATAACTAGATCAATTAATTAGGATTGGGACTTACACATTTATTATTTATTATTTATTATTTAAAAATGAAGAAAAAGATGTAATCTTCTAAAGCACTACCTGTTGGTTATCTGTCATGACGTCAAGAATGTTCTTGTGTCTTTTCGCCCACTAGGTCTGTTGTCCGTCTTGCTGCCAGTCTCTTAACTAAGCTAGTGGACAGCCTTGCGCCCAGTATTACTAGTGTTTTAGTGCATGGCAAGCAGGTAAGTTGATACACAGAGCGCAGGGCCCGAGTAGTTTACCGTAACTATCCCTTCTGTACAAATGATTTGGGGTTATTTGGGGGAAATGGCATATCGGGACAATGATTTTAATGTTCACTGATTAAAATAAATGAAATTGGTAATAGATGATTATGAGCTTCTCATGCTGTAACCCTGTGGGAGTTCCTATTGGCTAGCTGCATGCTCACATTCCCCATCCCAGCTCACCTCCTTTGTGTGTGCATCAAAGCTGTAGCTGTAGCGAGGCTGCCCGTGTGACCAGCGTAGAATCCTAATATGCACTGTATCCGCGTGTCTGGACACACGCCATGTGCCGATTGACGTACCGTGACCCGTGAATTTGTCTGGTGCGACTCCCTCGCTCTGGATGGGGTTCGGTGCATCATTTCCTGTCAAGTGTTACTCAGAGATTAGTCTCCTCTCGAGAGTGTCATTTTATCTCGCCTCGTTTTTTTGCCCTTCTGAACAGTTTTAAGCATTTCATTATGCTGAAGTAGCTGAAGTTGTGAATCTGCATATAGATTGCTTACCGGAGGGATCGCTCCTCTCGACATGATTGGAAGAGCTGATTTAAGATTTGAGATGGCTGTGTTACAATAACAGCTCAGTTGGAAAAAATAAGAGGCACCACCCCATTTAGGTCTATTCTGACTGGTTTTGTTAACATTTCTTGTCAATAGTCAAACTCAACAATGTATTTCCCCTGGGTCCTTACCAGACTTCATTTCCAGCTCCAAGCCATTATTTTGCTCAGATACAATCAGTTCAGATGTAAAGATGAATGATACAGCTTCAAAGTGCCGGGTTTCATCAGCTGAAGGCTAGGATAAAAGTGGTTCCTCCCATCTGGAAGATTGGTTAGGTGTAATTTTCATGAAATGCCTTTCAGATGAAACAAAATACAAAAGAGTCATCTTGTGATTTGTAATTTTTTTTTTCTCCCACTCCTTTTTATGTGGCTCTGGGAGAGGAGGCCAATTTTAGAGCTATGAAACAAAGATACTTGTAGGAATTGCACCTTGGAGGACTTCTGTGTGTGCACATGCCATTCTACGCATGAACACACTTTCACACACGTGCACAAGCATATGGCACACATGCTCACAAAAGCTTAGATATATTGCACACAACAGTTATTCTGCAGTGCAGAGAACATTCTAACTGTATGTGGTTTCGGTGTATGCTCCTTTTCCCTGGTTGTGCGTGCGTGCGTGTGTGTGTGTCGTTGCCTGTGATTGCTAGGTGACCCTCGGCCTATTCGGGCAAGAAGAAGAGGTGATCTCCAACCCGCTGTCGCCAGGGGTGATCCAGGGCATCATCTACAGCAGGTGCGCCCCTCAAGGTGGGGAGCGCGAGGCCGTGCTTCAGCAGGAACTGGTCATTCATATCGGATGGATTATCTCCAACAACCCAGAGCTGTTCAGCGGCATGCTCAAGATCAGAGTCGGGTACGACAAATTCGGGTTCAGGATGGTTGAATCAGTGCACATTTAGTCATGCAGTATGAACTCTTCACTGTAATTCTCCTTTCAGACCACTCAGCAGAACATGAAGAATTCAATGAATATTAGCATCGGTTGAGGCTGCAGTTTTTCCTCAGTTTATTATATTATATTCTTAAGTTAGCCAATCAAAACATCAGGAACGCCTTGCTTTCAAATATCTGTGTCAATACAGGTTGATTTATGCTTCAAAGGAACCTCGCAGCAGTTCTCTTAGAAGTGGACTGAGACTCACTTTAAAGGCTCGCTTTGCACTGAATGGATAAAAGTCCCTGAATTGTGAACAAATATCTCCCGATATGTTTGGTCCAAAAATTCTGTCTGGAAAATCAAAACCCAATTGGAAATTCTCTTCCAGCAGCCTTGTCAGACCAACTAGCTGTTTTTACCCGTTTGTCTTTAACTTTTTCTTTGACTATATAGAAAAGGTATTAAATTTAAAAAGAAACTTGACACAGTGAAGCATTACCGAAGAAAGGACACTATTTTGAACGTGTTCATCCTTGTTCAGACAAAGTGAGCTGTATATAGGGATACATTCTGTGGTGGTCAACTGCGTGTGTGTGTGTGTGTGTGTGTGTGTGTGTGTGTGTGTGTGTGTGTGTGTGTGTACTGTGGATTTCCAGATGGATTGTTCAGGCCATGAAACACGAGCTGAAGATCAGGGCAGGAGACATGCCAGCTCAGGACATCTACCAGCTCTCCCCCAGCGACATCAAGCAGCTCCTGCTGGACGTCCTGCAGCCACAACACACCGGCAGGTACAAAGTCACGCTATCGAGAACACAGCCTGCGCCTTCTCCTCTTTTTCTACTCCCAAAAGTGCCTTTGAAGACGCAGTGTCGTTATCTTAATGCATTCACTTATTTAATCTTTTTAGGGTTTAATTATTTTATCTTCCGTCTTGTCTACAGCCATATCTTACTATCTGCTGCTACCGCAACCCAATTTCAAAATGAGAATTATTACATTTTATCTTATCCAATCTAATCTAATACACATAGACAATTTCCTCTGGAACAACGGCTTTTGACATCATACATCCCCAGTCTCTATAACCCGGTTCATCAGTTTCACCCTTGCTTTGGCCTCAGGTCTTGGCTGAACAAGCGTCAGATCGATGGCTCTCTGAACAGGACCCCTCTGGGCTTTTATGATCGTGTGTGGCAGATCCTGGAGAGGACCCCCAACGGTTTTATGGTGGCTGGGACTCACCTCCCACAGGTACCTGCCTCCCCTGACACTGCTGCAGAATAAACACTGTGATCGATGCCGTGTAATGAATTGCAATGTATTCTTTAACAGGCACGTGTATGCCTTACAGTCACCGATCTCTATGTTTCGTTGTCTTTTAAAGAACACCTAACAAGTTCTGTTTCTCAAAACAGTGTTGCTCACATATATTAGTTTGTTCAAGTACTGGTGACAGTGTCAAATATGGACCGGATATTAACATCTGAGCTTTTCCTACTATGACAAGTCAAAATGTTTGCAGTGAATGTTTTTTGGCTGGCTGTTCATTGCTACATCTATTTGTCCGTAGGTTTACTTAAAAGCAGAAAGAGTAGATTTTTCTTTAAAAAAAAACAATGTATAGACTTTACAAAAATAATCCCTCTCGATCATCACTTATGACCCACTAGAAGTTTGTGGCATTGTCTGTGCCTTCAGACAAACCCTGCCCTCTGCCTCTCTGTATTTTCTTATTTTGCTGTGTTTGGGACGTTTCTGGGCATCAACCTCTTTAAGAACGTAGCGACCAGGTGCCAGGTTGTAAGCCTGCATCCAAATCTACAAAAATAGCGGACAAACTGCCAAAATAACGCAAAGACTTTGGGCCGAAACACCAAGTTGGCAAAGCTCGTTTCAAAACGAGAGTGAATCAGGGGTCGGCTTTCACCTGCTGGCGAGCGCCCTGACACAAACCGTGGTCAGGGGGGCGTAGGCTCCTGTTGTCATTGTGCCAGGGAGGAGGGGCCAACTTGACTGTTATGTTAACAAACCGCAACCATGGACTGTATATAAGAAATAGACGAAGTCACTGCGACCGTGAGTTTGTTTTTTATCTGGAGCATCAACTCAAGAAACGTTTATTGGATGCTTATTGGGATTTTCAGCCATCCACTACACATTAACTTCCCCCCCCCCCAAAAAATCCTGTTAAACTACATTGTGTATTGATTTATAAAGACTCTTGATTTCTACATTCATTTTGTTTTTCAAATAATCTAACAATACATCCAGTTCTATATCGCTTTAGATATTTGAGGACCATATCCAATTCCACTTTACGTTTTCACAACTTATATTAACTTTCTCTACATCTCTCATAATCTGCCTGAGCTCAGCTGACGGAACGAGTGAGGACTTGTTTTAACACATACTGCAGAGACTCAGGTTATTAGTGCACAGGAGATCCCACAACCCTCTGCCTCTCTCATGCTCGCAGTGATGGAATCAGATGATTCAGTGTGACACTTTAATCATAATAATTAAAGAGTTTAATTAAAACAGCCCTGTGATGACGGCTCATAAACACACGCAGGATATACACGATGAACTGTCTCTTTGCAGCAACCGACACTGTCTGACATGACCATGTATGAGATGAACTTCTCCCTGTTGGTGGAGGACACGCTGAAGAACATCATCCTGCCTCAGAACAGACAGATCATAGTAGAGGTAAACTCTTTGTCATTACGACTGAGGTTTAGACCTTTAAACAAAGAGAATGCTCTGTTCTTAGTTCCTGACGTGTCCTGTCTCCGCTGTGTGAGTAGTTGCTGATGGTGGTGTCCATAGTGCTGGAGAGAAACCCGGAGCTCGAGTTCGGCGACAAGGTGGATCTGGACGGTTTGGTGAAGGAAGCCTTTAATGACTTCCAGAAGGATCGCGGACACTCCGAAGGCACAGAGAAACAGGTAGAGCGGCTTCCTTCTAGGCTGTAACTGATACAACATCTTCTCACTTGAATGCGACCTGATTGTCAACCACAACATTATCTCATCACAGATCCAGATCAATGTACTCCCAAACTTTGAGCTTCTGTTCCAGCCATACACTGATAATTTAACAAAAGCGGTGGCTTAATTAGAAGGTGTTCAAAAGCCAAATAGAAACGTACTGCCATTGTCTTATTTTTTTTAATTTGTGAGATATAATCCTGCCAGAAAGTTGTTGTTTTTTACTTATAGCATGTCATTAAATAACTAACTTTTATAAGTACTTTTATAAATTCTTGAAAGCACTTTTCATCTGTGCCCCTGCAGAGTGACATGGAGGCATTTTACGACACGCCAGCGGTGGGAAAGAGAGGCACCTCCAGCTACCTGACCAAGGCAGTTATGATCCTGTTGCTGCAAGGGGATGTCAAGCCCTGCAAGGACGACCCATGCTCTGTTAGCTAGATTTACAGTGCTTTGACCCCTAAGCCCAGCCTGCTGCAGTGTAGTCATCAAACGGTCTGGCAGGGCCTTCTGAGTATCCATCTCGTGTATTCAGTAGATAACCTCTAACCTCTCCAATCCTCCCTTTGGCAGGACTCCTGCATGCTACATTTTTCCTGGACTTTTGCTTCAACAGCAATAAAAGCTGTAAGCAGAGGCCTCGAATGGCATAGATTAGCATGTCTGCAGTTTGCTCCAGTGGGTAACATACATCCACCAGTCCAGTTTACGATAAAAACAAATGTTGAAGATTGGAAGGAAATACTCACGATATCACCAGGGCCTTGTTTCTTTTATCTCTACACATGTTTATTCTGTATCCCAACTGTACTGTGTAAACATGTGTTTGAGTTACATTGAATTTGCTCTAGTTATTTATTAGCATTGGTGGCTAGTCATGTCAAATGCCACATAACTAGCTAGCTGTTCTCTTTACCTGGATGCCGTAGGTTAGTCTGTCTGCACTTTGTTCCAAGGCCTAATGTACTCCACATCCACCAGGTGTGATCACTAGCACCTAGACCCTTGCGTAACCGTTACGCTTCTTTCTGTTGCCAGAACTCAGTCCCCCAGCTGTTTTATGTATTCAAATTAAGTTTTTTTGTAGTTTTTTTAAATTACCATAGGTGGCAAGCTATTTATGTCAAAAAGGCACATAGCCACCTACTGTTATCTTGCCCTTTCTCCAATAATAAGTATTTTCTCTAAAACCATCAAAATATAAACAAATTGAAGGAATTGTCCTATTGTAGCTTAGCATAAAAACTCAATGGGGGAACAGGCTGCTGGCTGCAGTTTCATATTTAGCTTACAGGACATGAGAGTGGTATCAAGCTTCTCATCTAATTCTCTGTCATGAAATGAATCGGCATATTTCAGGAAATGACTTTCTTACATTTTTGGTTTTGCTTAGAAATTCAATTTAAATGTTTTGTATTCTGGTTATCAGGTATTCAATGCCATAATTAACCATTAGCACAGATGTAAGCTATACCTCACCAGCAATAACGTTTAGCTCTTACATAGCAGTTAGACAGTACAAGGTCATGTCGTATATTGAGAGGTGTGGTTCTCAAATCAATGCATTTGGCGCCCAGGGGTGTCTGCCATTATTTCATACATGAGCTATCAGTATAAATATATGAATCGATATCTGGTTATCCTCTTCTAAACAATTTGTGGGTCTTTGGCATTTGGCAGTTTTGAGAACCAGAGAGATATTTTAAATTGTATAGTGAATTACTATTAGTTAGTCTTTTTGAAGTTTGTTCTACTACGTTGAGCTTCTCTTTGTGAAACGCTGTGTCCTCTTACCTCTATGCATGCACAGTCTGCCGCATGACCATAGGTACTGTTTGCCATAAACATGGTGACGGTTTCTCTGAATGTTATAGGCTACAAAAGAGAGTTTATTTTGCACAATAAGGCTCTGCGTGACAATGACTACTGCGCATCTGTAGTCCTGAAACTGAGGATCCTTTAGAAAATGCCTGTTGAATGTGGGCAACAGTAAACACCGCTGTCATCCTTAGGTAGATAGGTAATGAATATCATTACCGCCCAATCTTGTCACTGTGTGTGTGTGTGTGTGTGTGTGTGTGTGTGTGTGTGTGTGTGTGTGT